TCTTTGGAGCTTTTCAGTCACGTCCTAAATTATCAGTTTATTTCTTGGTTAATCAGGGTAAGATGTTTTATAAATTTAAATTATCTCATCCAAGTTTCTTAAAAGTACTTGTTAAGTCTCGCAGAAGCAGTTTTTGTAACATAATTTGAAGTGGAATTTAAGTAGGTGGGTTTTCTCTTATTGAAAGCAGTATTTGTGTTAGTACTACAGAAACCTACCTTTCAAACTACAGATGTACCTCCATCTTGTGGTGACTTGTCAGAAGTGTCCAAAATGAAAAGGTTTTAGAGTACACTAAAAACAGAAGCAGTAACATCAGATAAAAATAAAATGCCATATTTAAGCTTTTGGAAATATTGACATCTTTTTTACACTTTTGTTCCTGATTTTCTTGAGGCTTAATTTAAGCCTTATTGTACATATTTACTTTTATTGTAAAGGATCAAAATATTTCTCAGAGAATAAGCTTTTGAATATTGACATCTTTTTTACACTTTTGTTCCTGATTTTCTTGAGGCTTAATTTAAGCCTTATTGTACATATTTACTTTTATTGTAAAGGATCAAAATATTTCTCAGAGAGAGTGGGAAGATAGAGATATGTGAATCATTTTTTAAAAAATTTCTTTGGAATAGAATAAAAGAAATATTGACCTTGATGAATTAAAACATGGAACTATTGATTTGTGTCATTGATTTAAAAAGTAGAAATAAGTAAGAGTTAAGGAGATGCAATTCAGTTTTTCAAATAGCTGTGCTGTAGTCTACATGACCTGCAAAAAAGAGCATAGATTGTAAATACCTGTAGTTCCATCAGTCAGTATTTGGAAAACTTTGTTCAGCAGCCAATTCAGGTAATATTTATTGAGCTCCTAAAATGTTGTAGGGCCTTGAGATATATCATAGAAATAAAGACAGTTCCTCACTCATGTAGATCTAATATTCCAGGAGAAAGAACAGCAATAGAAAATAATCACAGTGATAAAATAGAGTAAGTTAGAGAGTTACAGGTGCTGTGACAAAGAAATGATCAGAAATGCTGGACACTCGTGGTAGGCCTCATTGAGAAGGTGAGGTCTGAACAAAGGTTTGCAGGGTGATGAGGTGTTTAGCAGAGTGGAAGGAGGAAAGAACATTCCAGGCAGCAGGAACATTAAAGTTAAAGCCAAAAGTTTGTCTGGTGTTTTCCAGGAATAGCATAGAGAAAGTTAGAGTTGAATGAGCAAGGGGAATATGAGTAAAAAAAAAAAATCAATGAGAGGTAGTGGAAATGCAAATCACATAGGATCCTCCAATGTAGACCTTTACAGGGACTTTGGCTTTGGCTTTGTACTTTATGGTAGGCAGAATAATAGCTCCAAATATGTCAGTGTAAACCCCGCAACCTGCAGATTTGTTACATGGTGAGATGTTGTGTAGAATTGATTAAGGGCATGCACCTTGAGAGTGGGAGAGTATCTGGGATTATTCAGGTGGACCTAATTTAATCATAGTGGCCCTGAACGTGGGCCCCACTCCCACTCCACTTCTAGGCCCTCAGTAGAGCCTCTAAAATGAGAATGACCCTCTACTTACAGGAACTAGAGAGACATCAGGCTGCAAATTGCAAGAAACTGACTTCTGCCAACAACCTGAATAAGCAAGGAGATTGAATTCTCCATCTTCAAAAAGGAATATATCTTTGCTGATATCCTGATTTTGGAAATCGGCCTGATTTCTTACCTAGGGAACTGTAAGAAAATAAATTTGCACTGAAGCCACTGAATTTGTGGTATTCCTTTATGGCAGTAGTAGGTAACTAATGTACTCAGTGAATCAGAATGCTATTGTATACTTTTGAGAAGAGTATCTTGATAAGACTTTTTTGTTATGTAAATGTCTGTGATAATTACAGTGGTTTTCACAATATCCAGGGTAAATAATTGTTAGCTTCAGTAGTAGAAAGTGGAGTAACTTATATCCTTGATATTAGACACTATTTTGAAAAGCCTTTTATACTTTCTAGATTACATCATTACTATATTTTCTTTTCTAGGAAATTCAAATTAATATGCTCTAGAAAAATTAACTGAATTTAGAGTTAAATTCTTACAGGAAAAAAGACACCGATGATCTGTAGCAAGCTAAACCTAAACTGTATCTGAAGCCAATCTTAATCCTCCATTTGCTTTTTATTTCCCTCCTCAAACTATTGTTTTAAAACCAAAGTTGCTTAAAATTAGGAATCAAAAGCTTATATTCCAGTGTTTAAAATGTGGATGTATTTTTCATATCATTACCTTTTGGCTGCCTGAGGCAGTGGCAACACGTGAGTTTGATCAGCAAAACACTGTCTTTTAAATTTATGTTAAATAGTTCTTCAATAAAATTCTAGTTCCATTTGAAGCAATGGCTTTCAGCTCTGGTTAGACAAGTTCCTTCAGCCACAATTAGAACGTGTAACTATGGAGACTATGACAAAGGAAAACTTCTGTTAACATGCAGAAAAACAAAAAATGGGACCTTGCAATTTCTAAGTGTTCCTAAAAAGGAGTTTCCTCAAAACCACACACACTCACACACACACACACACACACACACACTCACACACTCATATATACTCAGTACATTGTACACACTGTGTAAGATACTATGTACTATATACATAATGTAAAAAGTACACACACTATGTATCAACATAAGTTGACCAAACTTTGTATGTTATCCAAAGAGGCTCAGAAAAAAAAAATTTTTTTTAGAATTGCTGGGCAATTCAGGGAGCACCAATTCCAGTAAAAACCAGATTGTGTCCTATTGGGAAATGGGTTAGAAGGTCTCTTTAAGGGTGCAGAGGGGAGTTTATGTAGGTTGTGAAGAATTATGGTTAGAAGGCAAATCTACTTTATAACTTATTGATCCAGCTCAGACCATATTACTCTTTTAGGAAAGTGTTTATACAATCATCAGGATATTCTTAGCAAAATTCAACGAATGAATACCACAAGGCAGAGTGTGGGTTACTGTGAACTTTCCTTTTCAATTCACAGGCCATATAATTTTTTTTTTTTTGTGCTCATTGAGTTTATTGGTCCATTTTAGGTAAACAGTACAGTTACGTTCATTATTGGGATCTTGTACCTTTACATGACAGGTCTTGGTTCTCATTTTTTCCCCTTGTCCCTGCCCTCCCTTCACCCTCTCCTCCCCTCCCCATTTAAAAACACTTCATTTCCATTTTTTCATATTTTTTTCTTTTCCCTTATTAGCTTTCCCCTACCCTTCCCACTTTCCCTACACCTTTAGCCCCTTTCTTCCTATTTAACAATGTCAATTATATCATTAGGATCTTATGTACTATTATAGTTTATTCACACCAGAGAAACTATTTGGTATTTACACATGTGTGACTTATTTATTTCACCTAGGAGTATATCCTCAGTATGTATCCCATTTTCCTCCTGAATGAATCTAATTTCTCATTCTTTATGGCTGAGTAGTATTCCATTTTATAGAAAAAACACATCTTTATCCAGTTTCCAACTGAGGGGCAAATGGGCTGTTTCCAAGTTTTAGCTATTACAAACTGTGCCGCTACAAACATAGGTGCACATACATCACTGTGATATGATTCTTTTCATTCTTTTGGAAAGATACCCAGCAGAGTTGCCTGGGTTAAATGGAACCTCTAGTCCCAGCTCTTTGAGGTATCTCCATATTGATTTCCATAGTGGTTGCACCAGTTTGCACTCCCACCAACAGTGGAGAAGGGTTCCTTTCTCCCCACAACCCCACCAACATTTGTTATTGTTTGATTTCTTGATGGTAGCCATTCTTTGTGGGGTGAGGTGGAACCTCAGTGTGGTTTTCATCTGCATCTCTCGAATGACCAATGTTTTGAACATTTTTTCATGTATTTATTTGCTGCTTTTACTTGTCTGAGAAATGTCTGTTCATTTCAGATGACCGGCCATATAATTTTTTTAGAAATCTCATTTAAGTGATAGAACTATAACATGTAAGCATGTCTGGGCATGGTGGTGCATACCTATAGTTCCAGGCCTTGGGAGATTGAGATAGGAGGATCACAACTTGGAGGTTATCCTGCTTCTACAAATCAAATAAGACTTCATTAGGCTGCCCATTTAATTTCATTCTAGGGACACCATGATGAATTAACTATGCTAAAGATATTTATGTGTGCCGGTCCATTCTGATTCATGCTTGTGCTGCTATCCATTATGGTAACCTATCAACCAGATCAGTCATGCTGTCCTCACAGAATTCAGAGTCCAGTTTGATGACAGCAATTTCCTGTCTTTCTTGGTCTGCAGATAATAAGCACCACAGAGTATTAATGATGCTGAGACTCTCTTCATGGAAATATATCTTGCGATTTTGCTCAGACTTTCAGGGCATATAGTTAGGGGTAGATAAGCTAGTTGTATATGATGAATTCCCCTCAGCTTTTGGATGTCTTCCTCTGTAGATGCTCAGAGTGTTGTTTGGGGACCTGGTGGGAGTGTCATCACGAGATAATTCAGCTCTAAAGAGAATAAAATAGTTTATTCTGAGCCAAATATGAGTGACCATGCATGTGAAGACAGATTCAGGTTGCCCTGAATGACATCTTCCACCATGGAAGAAGTTACACGAACTTGTACAGACACACAGAGCAAGGGACAGTCATGCATCATTGTGTTTACCAAATACATCGTAGGGAACATGTAGGCAGGCTTCTGCAAGGCCAGAAAGTCTGTTCTGTTAGGCTTCAGATGTTTTCTCACAGCATTCTTAGCTTTAGGGTTGGTGGAGGCTTGAAGTTTGCTTAACTATACATTCCAAGAGTTATCCACTAGTCATGCAAATGTTAGGTCAGATACAGAGATTAATAGAAAATGGCTATTAAAAGAGACTAAGGAAAGCCCAAGATAACTTCTGCACTTGATCTGCAATAATCCCTCTCTACAGTCATAATGTTTTAGGCAGCTGTGGTCAGACAGTCTGCAGGGTTTTTCAGAGAAGATCAGTTCCTTTCCCATATATTATTAACATTGGAACCATACAGAGAAGATTAGCATGGCCTCTGTTCAAGGATAATTTGCAAATTCATGAAGCATTCCATATTCTATATCATATCCCAGAAGCAATGGCTATCATCAAAAATCTCATAATAAATGCTGATAAGGATGTGGGTGAAAAGGAACTCTTCTACATTGTTGGGAATGTAAACTACTACAACTACCGTGGAAATCAGTGTGGAGATTTTCATTTTTTTTTTAGCACGAGATCTTTAATGAGCAACACTCCCAGCCCAAGAGTCTTCATTTCTTAAAAGACTGGCCTGCATCTTTCTCCAATATGCTTAGGTTTCATTGTAGGCATCACACCTACTAAAAATACATAGAAGGATCCCTTCTGAAGCCAGAAGGCATTAGAAGACCGGGCCCTTCATGGAAGTCTGTACTTCAAGGGAACGAGGAAGGTTGAGGATTAGCCTTGGACAAGGTGTATTTCCACACATAATTGTTACAAAAGGGTGGGCCAATAAGGAGCCTGTAGGCCTTAAGGGGCTTTCTCTATGACATTCCCGTTCCAGGTAAATCTCTTTTCTGATCATTAATCTGCCTCTGGGAATTCAGGGAGGAAGGGTCCCTGTGTAGCCCATGCTTTCTTCTTTAAGTTTGTGGAAGCCTAGACTCTCCTGGTTTGTGCTGCTTGTCGATGGTATTGACTCAAGGCAGAATCTCCCCTTGTAGCTCAGGCTCTAACAAGTCCTCTCTGCACTTGACTCCACCTCAGCTTGTAAAATGTTGACCTTTGATTCTTCTGCCCAAGAAAGGATTTTGAGCTGGGGGAAAAAAAATCAGACCTTCAAGACCAGCATCATCATGAACATACTCAAAGCAGCTTTTCATTTCACACATATTTCAGAGTCTCCTTACCCTTAACCGGTCAGCGCGGAAGAGGGCTCCTGGCTGAGGAGTGTTCAGGCAAAAGGGTGCAGGTTCTATCTTTAGTGATGAGCAGTACAGGTCACTGCAGAAGAGGTACTAACTCTCTTAGTCCATCCAGTGTTCATTCTCTCATCTCAGTGGCTGAGCCAGCGAGCTACTGTTGGGGTCCTGTCATCATGATTCCAGTGACTAATTTTGCAGTAGAGCAACATAGGTCTTTGTCAGACTATTTCACAACTGGATGTCTCTTGGGAGTCCACCTGGATGCTGGCTTATCTGCTTCAGCCTGACTATTCAGCAGCCCAGCGCCTCCTGCTGACAAAGGTGCTCACATACCCAAAACATCAACAAAAAAATCTCTGTTCTATCGTCACACTTCAGCCAGCCAAAAGCAGACTAGTTGAGGATAATGATCTCTCACCAATGATGCCAGTCCTGGAAATCTGCGAGTTCTATCTTTTGAAGCAGGAATGGGTCACAAAGCTGATACTTTTGCCTGGCAACTTGCTCCACACATGGCCCATGTGCCCTGTTCTTGCAGGGGGAGGTGGCAATCATAATTAATAGGCAGCTCTTCATGAGTCCTGTCCAGGACCAGAGAGGCTGTGACTGTAAAGAGAGGGATGCCTCAGGAGCCCTTCTGGAAGTTAATGCTGGCATCTCTTTCTGCAAACTTAGGTTTGGGATTTTGTGTCCATGCAGAATATACCCTAACCAATTCGCAGTGCTGGAGCTCTTAAAATTACTAGGAAAAGTAAAGAGGGTCCTGTCTTTGCCAACTGAGCTTTCAGTGTATACTGGGGATCAGACTTGGGCCCTTGCACTTGTGAGGCAAGTGGTGGAACCACTGAGCTAAATCCCTGGCTCAGGATGTTTTGCAAGACAGCTAGGTGTTCTGCTATTGGCTCTTCCCCAAGTTGTTGTCCACCAGCTCCAGGAAGCTCTCATCCAGCACCATGAAGGTGAGCCATTCCAGTCTAACCACTTTGGTGTTAAGGGCCTTCCAGAGAGCCCAAGGAGTGGCCACTATCCCTTCTGCTGAAGGTTGTTTGGATATTTGCAGCCTGATCTTAAGTACCTCATAGCCTCTCCCTAGTTTCCACCACTGGGCCCAAACATCTGCCCAATACCTGGACCACAGTGAGTACCTGATCCGCTACTCCTCCTAAAGGCACCAGGACCAGGCCTTGTGGAGCTGGATAAAGTGGGAGTCTAGGAGTGGTGCATTCACAAGGTGTTGAAGCAGCAGTCGTAGGTAGCTGAAAGTTTGCCACTGACAGTTTTCCCCTAGTAAAGGACATTCAGACTGCAAAGTGGTGAGGGGATATTGTTCGACCACATGGTTTGGACAAAAAGACTTCGAATGCAGCCTCCTCTAGTATGTGCATCCGGAGACACCAGACCCAGGTCCGCAAAGCTGCTCCCAGAGTTCTGCAGCTTGAGGCGCTAGTGTTGAGCACACTTGTGCGCGCTGATGCCTGCAGCATCAACCACCAGTGAGAGCCGCGTGGACCGATTCAACACAGCACAGAGAGTAGCAGTGGTCCAGATTGCTCAAGCATGGGTTCTAGGGACTCTGATACTTGCTGTATCACTGTTCTGTCGCCTAGAATGCGCAGCAGTAGCAGGGCTTCTTTGGGATCTCAGGCCTCCATCCGGGCACCAGAAGTAATCAATGTTACCAGTGCAAGACCCCTGTTCCTTGTGGAGCAGGAAGGGCCAGTGTGGAGATTTCTTGAAATGATAACAATAGAAATTTCATTTGACCCAGCTATCCCTATTCTAGGTATCTTCCCCCAGAGTTTCAGTCACCAATTTACAGAGATATATGCATATCCATGCTCATAGCAGCACAATTTGTAATAGCTAGATATTGGAAACAGCATATATGGCCGTCAAGAGATGAATAGACAAATGTGGTATTTATACACAATGGAATAGTATTGTTCCATAAAGAAAGATAAACTTGAGGCATTAGTAGATACAGAAGCTTAACTATTGCATGGTTACTCTTACAAGAGAAACTCAAAATATACACATATATAAAGAAAAAATGAGAGGTAGGGAGAAATTGAAATACTTTCCAAAATTCTCTTCCATTGTCTCACAAATATTTCAATATTTATGCCAGTTTGTTTTGTTTGTACTACTAGTTTCTTTTAGTTCACTGAAAAGAAAGTTTTGTGTTATAATCTCTATGTTTCTGTTTTGTAAGAGAGTCTTTTTTTTTTGGTTGAGTTTATTGGTACTTTTTAAGTATACAGTACAGTTACATTCATCATTGGGATCTTGTACCTTTACATGACAGGTCTTGGTTCTCATTTTTTCCCTTTGCTTCTGCCCTCTCTTTGCCTCCTCCACCCTTCCCTATTTACAAAGACTTTGTTTCCATTTTTTGCTTTTCTCATATTTTTTCTTTTTCCTTATTTCCTTTCCTCTACCCTTTCCCCTTCCCCCACACCTTTAGCCCTTTTCTTCCTATTTCACATTGTCAGTTATACAATTTGGAGCTTATTTACACTTTTAGTTTTTCACCCAGAGAAACTATTTGGTATCTACATGTGTGTCTTATTTATTTCACTTAAGAGTATGGCCTCAGTATACATTCCTTTTCCTATGAATGACTCTAGTTTCTCATGCTTTATGGCTGAGTAGTATTCCATTTTATAGAAAAACCACATCTTCTTTATCCAGTCTTCAACTGATGGGCAAATGGGCTGTTTCCAATTTTTAGCTATTACAAACGGTACCACTATAAACATGGGTGTGCAAATATCACTGTGGTATGATTCTTTTAATTCTTTTGGAAAGATGCCCAGCAGAGGGATAGCTGGGTCAAATGGAACCTCTATTCGTAGTTCTTTGAGGTATCTCCATACTGATTTCCACAGTGGTTGCAATAATCTGCACTCCCACCAACAACGGAGAAGGGTTCCTATCTCCCCACAGCCCCAGAAGTATTTGTTATTGGTTGATTTCTTGATAACAGCCATTGTTTGTGGGGTGAGGTGGAATCTCAGTGTTGTTTTCATGTGCATCAAGAGAGTCTTTTTTGTCTATGGCTTGTACTCTGAGTAACATTTTGACCATTCTTTTAAGATTATGGTGCACAGTGTATTAAGCATTGGTATTCTGTTATTATTTTGTTATGGAATTTTTTTTTGTTTGTTTTTTGAGACAGGGTCTCACTATGTAGTTGAGACTGATCTGGAACTCACTACGTAGCCCAGGCTGGTCTCGAACTCATAGTGATCCTCCTGCCTCAGCCTCTCGAGTGCTGGGATTACAGTCGTGTGCTACCACGCCCGGCTTGTTTTTATATCTTTAAGAAGATACACTTTTCATAAGAAGAGTGCTTTTTATATATTTATTAAAGTCTATGTGTATTACATCAAAACAAAAAACAAGGAGCCACTGATAACTTTTCAAGGTTCCCGTGAAATCAGACATTTTTCATGCTAATAGAGATCTTCTTTACTTTTCTACTGTGTTCTTAGAGTGTAGAGAGGAGTGCATCAGATGCTACAGCACATGTGATGGTAGGATCTTCTGGATGGCAAAGGGAATGAGTGTGTATTGTTGGGTTTTGAATTTGCAGGGTTGGTCTTAGTAATTTTTGAGAGGGTAAAGAGATTTCTAAAAGTTTGAGTACTAGTGCCCTAAAGTGCCTCAAGGAAGTTCTGATATTTCAATTATGTTTAGTGTAGTGCATTGGTTTCACAGATTTTCTCAATTATGTTTGTATCCAATTTAATAATTTCTCCTCTGTGGTTTAATTCTGTTTAATTTTTTTGTTTGTTTTTTGATACAGGGTCTCACTGTATAGTTGAGATTGACCTAGAACTCACTATGTAGCCCAGGCTGGTCTTGAACTCACAGTGATCCTTCTGTCTCAGCCTCCCGAGTGCTGGGATTACAGGTGTGTGCTGCCCCCCCCCATTTTAAGGGGGAAGGTTGAAACGGGATCTTGTTATGTAGTTCAGGCTAAACTTGAACTGTGTAGCACAGGCTTGCCTTGAATACACGGAGATCCTCCTTGCCTCAGCCTCCTGAGTGCTGGGATTACAGGTATGTGCTATCAATGGTTGGCTCAGAATTTTTTCTTTTTTTAACCTTGAACACATTCTATTGTTTTTATATATAACATTTTCTAATTTCAGTTCTACAAAGAACA